AAGTTGCTTTCTAAAGCTACTCCCCAAAGCTGTCGTTCTTCAAAGCAACGGTCTGTCAATGCGGCTGCAATGCCGCAAAGTTGCTCCCCACAGTTGCTCCCCAATTTCCGAAAGCTGTTCTCCAAAGCACCTCTGCAAAGCGGTTGCCCCAAAGCGGCTATGCTTCAAACCTATTCCCCAAAGCTATTCTCCAAAGCGGCTCCCGAAAGCTGCTCCCCAAAGTTGCTCCCCAAAGCTGCGGTTCTTCAAAGCTGCCGTGCAAAGCTGCTCCTCAAAGCTGCTCCCTAAATAAGCTGCTCCCCAAAGCTGTTCCCCTGCGCTGCTCCACAAAGTTGTGCCCAAAGCTGTTCTCCAAAGCTGTTGCCCCAAAGCTGCGGAAAGCTGCTCCCCAAAGTTGTTGCTGCCCGAAGCTGCCAACTGGTCTGGAAAGCTGTCCAAAATTGCTCCCCAAAGCTGCTACCCAAAGCTGTTCCCCGGCGCTGCTCCCCAAAGTTGTGCCCCAAAGCTGTTCTCCAAAGCTGTTGCCCTAAAGCTGCGATTCTGCAAACCTGTTCACCAAAACGGCTGCCCAAAACCATTCTGCAAAGCGGCTCCCGAAAGCTGCGCCTCAAAGTTGCTACCAGAAGCTGCTGTCCAAAGCTATTGCCCCAAAGCTGCAACCTTTCAAACCTATACACCAAAACGGCTCCCCAAAGCTACTCTGCAAAGCGGCTCCCGAAAGCTGCTCCCGAAAGTTGCTACTGAAAGCTGCTCCCCGAAGTTGTTTGTAAAGCTGCCCCCGAAAGATGCTGTTCTTCAAAGCAATTGTTCCTGGAAGTTGCTCCGGACAGCTTGCCAAAGCTGCTTCCCAAAGCTGCTGTCCAAAGCTATTGCCCGAAGGCTGCGATGCTTCAAACCTATACCCTAAAACGTCTCCCCAAAGCTATTCTGCAAAGCGGCTCCCGAAAGCTGCTCCCGAAAGTTGCTACTGAAAGCTGTTCCCCGAAGTGGTTTGTGTACAGGCAGATCGTAATATTATAGTAGTAATAAATTGAGGACATGCCGTTATAGATTGCGGCTTGCAGTTCTTGGGGCGCAACAGTGAACAGCCATGTGGTCTACACCGAGGGCACCGCCACAGGTTTAACATGACTAAATGTGTAGCCATATGAAAATATGCGACTGGTTTGGTTATGTAACTTCATTCCGCTAGCTTGGCGAGCCTATATCAGCGGCCTTTTTCCAATGCAAAGTCAGCGGCATCAAAAAGACACTCGTACCCACGACCAGTAAGCTTGAAATATTTATGGGCCCTATAGTGAACTCAAGAGAACGACAGTCGCATGCGGTAAATTCAAAATAACGGAAACGCAAAACGAAAGTTTCCAAAGTTTGTATTCGTGAAAAGTTCCAAAATAGTGGCAGATTTTTGGGAAAGTTGGGCTCGGGGTTAAAGTGCCAAAATTATGGTGAACTCCGCGCGCGCGCGCCAAATTCAGGAAACATATAGTCAAATACAACTGAAAGACCTACCGAGCGACACTGTGACCGACCGTACTGCATTTGCTTAATGGAACACTGACTGGGAAGAAGAGAAATTTCCCAAAAAAAGCATCACTTTTTTGGAAAAATCAAAAATAATTTTCCCAAAATAGTAATAAAATTTCGACCTCCGAGCAGGGGGCTCAGGAAGTACAGACTTAGTTTGTATTCGCGCAGATTTATATTCGCGCAAATTAAGTTTGTATTCGCCAATTTTCCCAAAAAAGTAGCAAATTTTTGGGAAAATTAGCCTCGGGAAACTACGCGCGCGCTCTGTGTAAGGCTAAATCGTAATATTGGTAGTAATATATTTTTATATAAATATTATATATTTTATTATATATATGATTTTTTTATTATTTTATTTTTTAAAATTATTTTCTAAATCGGTAATATATTATCAATATCAAATTATTTTACATATTTATTATATTTTAATTTCTAATTTTCAAATATATATAAATATCAGAATAAACATATTATAATTAAAGTTTTAAATATACTATATAATTATATATTAATAATTTTAAAATACATATATTTAAAAATATTTTTTAAAAAATATTATAAATTATTATTCTAAAATATATAACCTAATCCTTCCCTTCCTTAAAAAATATAATGCCGGTATTTACCGCTCATATTCATAATATATATATTTTTATTAAATAAAGATGCTCCAATCCAATCGGGCTACAAGCCTTTCTCATCTTATTCGAACATAAATTCGGTACTTTCTAAAAATTATAAACATATATAAATGAACCCCTTGTGACCCCTTGTGAATTAACTGCAAATATTGGTGTGAACAATTTTAGGGCCATAAGCCTTAAAACATTGACCCCTTTAAAAAACAATCTAAACAATTGCTTGCCATGATGATTTCAACAGGCCCACCCACCCTCCAATGAGCACTCTTTTCTGGAGAGTTGGCATCGGTCAGGGC